ACCAAGGACTCCCTGGATTATATAGCAGTATATACTTTAGCAATTGTTAGCTTATTATTTAGTGAGCGCCACTGAGAAATAGTCCTGGTAATTAGACTAAGAAATTTGAGATCAAAAGCCCTACCATAATCTCTCAACACTCAAAGTAGCTAGTTTCTGAACTGTGTGTTGTAGTCTTTGTTATGGTTGTTATTGAAGTAAAAGGCTTGAGCCAGAATGTAAATCAGTACACTGCTTTTTTAATGGAGAAAGTTTTAATACTTTGAAAAGGTCAGTGTGCTTAATTGACTTAATGCCTGTCACAGCTCCTTTATCTCATACCAGGGAGCTCTGGTGGCATATAGTCCTTAGTGAGTCCCCTGCTAACACAAAGGCTATGTGTCTCTGGCACTTCAACTCCACAAGTGACTAACTACTTGGGAGAAAGGTGGGCATCTCTTTTTATAATTCACAGCTTTGGAAACCCAAGGGAGGATTGATTGCTGTGAGTTGAAACTGACTTGACAGCAGATTTTTTAAAAAAATTTGGTTTGTTTATTAAGTTTGTATATATTATGTTTCATACAGTCATTCTGATTTTTTATACAATTAGTCAACACTGAACTATGTCCACCATTGCTCTGTCTTTTCAGATCCCTGCCCAATCTTTCCCATTTCCTTTACCCACCCCTTCCTCCATCTGTCAAATTGTGCCACCCTATGATTTCCCCCTGCCCATCCTCACCCCTCTGCGTCCACCCTCATCCCCTTGGGTCCTCATACATGTTTTACTAGTTATTTTTCTATTTCTACAATAATGGTCTCATATAGTATTTGTCCTTTTGGCACTGAGTTATTTCACTCAGCATAATTCTCTTCAGTCCTTCCCAAGTTATGTAGTAATTTTTTAATTTATTGCTCCTGAGTGCTGCATAGTATTCCATTGTGTGAATGTACCACAATTTCTCAATCCCTTTGATTGTGGTTGGACATTTGGGCTGTTTCCATGATCTTGGTGATGGTGAATAATGAGCATTAGTGTATAAATCTCTGTGTCTTGGTCCTAATTTTCTTGGGGTATATTCCAAGTAGTGGAACAGCAGAGTCATATTGAATTTTTATGTTTCGTTTTTTTGGGGAAATGTTAAACTACCTTCCAGAGTGGTTATACCATTTTATAGTTCCATCAACAATGTATGGCAGTTCGTATCTTTTCCTTATCTTCTCTAATAATTTTTCCTTGCTTTGACAGCAGTTTTTGAGTTTGAGAAACAGTTTCCCAGCAAGCACTGGCCTTTGGGTCATAATTAGAGTGACACTGTTTCAGTGCAGGACTTTAAAATTTTTAATTTTAACCTATCATATATAGTACATGTTACATTTGAACTCATTTTTACATATATGCATCCATACACACATGCATATAAAACCCCCCTCCCAAGTTTCATGGAACAAATATTTAAATATATAGTAAATGTAAAAATCAGAAAACATCAGAAGTTTAGAAGTGATTGATTTCCAAGATAACAGAGCCTTGTTAACACTTTAGAATTACTTTAAACCAGAGTATTTAATCAGTCTTAATTTGTTATATTTTAACAAGAATGGGAGTAGAGTGGATTATATGAGATTTGAAGTAGCCAGATGATCTAGAAAGGAACAGGGAAAGATGGTAGGTGGCTGACAGAAACAAACTTTTTTTTCTCTTCTGCTTTGCCAAGGATTTTGGCAATAGTTGGTGTGAAGTCTTAGCTAAAATAATTAGGACTGGTGTGAATAGACAGTAAACCTCAATCTTCACTTTTGCTTTCCAGTCCTTATTCTTTCTCTCTGACTGGATCAGAGGAAATGTCAGAGAAGTAGAGGGGAAGAGAGAGTTTAAGATAATTTTTCTTTAGAGGAGAACTTTGATTTTTCTTCAGTGTATTTTTTAAAAATACTAAAATAATTTGGAAGCACAAGATATTTTTGGGTTTTTTAAAAGCATAAGTTCATTTGATAGGTAATATATTACATTTGTTTCAGATTAAAAATACTGAGTTGTATGTTAATTAAACATTCCTGTATAAATATCATTGTGTTTGTTGTTGCTTCTGTTTGTTTTTACTGTGACAGCCAGACAAGGAAATTGTTAATTCACTTTATCACCTTGACCTTAATTTATTTTGTCAGTCTGTTTTGAGATTTAACAGCAAATACAGCAGAATGAATTACTAAATTTAAGCTTGAGCATCTTAAACTTTAGGTTGCACATGTATCCTTTTTTGCTTGCTTGTTTAGGGGGAAAAACCCTTTTATGATTTAACTTATAAAAATGCATATGATTGTAGAGGCAGCAATAGCAATTAAAACAATATGTAAAGTATTGCTTTTTAAAACTTTTTATTGTGGATCAGATGAAATTTTAAAGATCAGATTGGAACTTTATTTCTCGGTAAATACTGCCATTTTGATCTGTTGTGGTTCATTTTTCTAAGGACTGTACCCCTCCCTTGAATATACCTTCTGTACTTATCCTTGGCAAATGCTGCCCTTTTGATCTTACATGCTTGGTTGTTCTAAAGAGTGTGTGCCTCTGGTGGTGTTAACCTTATAGTCTTTTTGATATTGGGCTGAAAGTCAAGCCACAGGGAGTTAGTTAAGTTCCAGGCTTGAGTGGTGACTGAGGACCAGGTGTCTGGAGGCTCCAACTCTGATAGTCTTCAGATGTCAGAGAAAAAAAAAGTTCTAACTTACTTGAACTAGTCTCAGCTATCAAGTAAGGACAGAAAAGGTCAAGATTAAAAGATACAATCTTTTAAAAAAACCAAACGAACAAAAAAACCCACCAAAACCCAAGACAACAAATCATATGTAGCAGTTTTCTGTCACATAGGGTTGCTGTGAGTAAAAACTTGACTCTCCAGCACCTTACAGAGATTGGCACAATGCTGCCTTGTCAGTATAAGGACTGTCCATATCTGAATTTTTACTTTAAAATATCACGTAAATATTTTAAGTGGGATGCTAATAAGCATTCTTTTGAGACATAGGGAAAGGATCTTATGGTCTAGTAATTTTGGGAATTTATCCGTGTTAAACAAGATAAAAGAGTCATTTGTTAATTTTTTTTCTTCTATAAACCCTTGCTAAAAACTCAAGTCATCATATTCCTCCTGTTTCCCTCCCTGTGTATAATCATTTGCCAAGTCATGTCATTCTACCTTTGTAGTGGCTCTTGTATCTACCTCCTATTTTCCATCTCCACTGCCCTAGTTCTGACCTTCATCATCTTTCCCTAGGGTCATCATAAGAGATAACTCTGAGAGTAGCTCCTATTCTAGTCTCTTAGAGCTTAACTTTATATTGTTGTATCAGCCTGGGTCACCTAACAGTCCATTACTTTTAGAAAACAAAGTAAATGCTTTAGTATGTTATTCAAGACCATGCATTATCTGTTCCTAGACTATTTTCAGGCTTTATTGTCCAGTAGTTCATTCTTTATGCTGGTTGAGTCCTAAAAAGATTTTCTTCTTATTTCTTTACTCATACTATTCCTCATCTTTGTCAAACACCTTCTCCCACCAGACTCACATCAAATGCTGTCCCTTGATGCCCTCAAGATCACCTCGCTCATACTTAATCTTCATTTTCATCACAGCATAATACTGTATTTTTTTAGCACGTAATGTGTGTGGCCTGGTGTTAAGAAGCTGCACTGTAATCCCAAAAGCAGGCAGTTCCACCCCACGAGCTGCTCCAAGGGAGAAGGATGGACAGTCTCCTTCTGAGCAGTTAACTGCCTTTGAAAACCCAATGTAAGGTCATGTATGGGTCGGTTCCATCTGGCTGGTACACAACAACAACAGTGTACCCATGCATATAATTACTTTGTACACGGCCAGTGTGTGAAGTGATTGCATAGTTTACAAAAACAAAAGTAACAAATATGTAAAGCATACATTATTTGTGTAAAACCACAGTATTTTTTTAAATAAAAGTTTACTGAAAGGTTAGGTTTTCATTCATTCATTGTTGCACATTTTCCTCCTTCTTTTCCCAGTCCACTTCGCAGTACACCTCTTGTTCGAGATTATTTTCATAAAAATATAGTATTTGGGGGGGGAGGGGGGAGGGGTTTGTGAGGGGAGAAGGGTGCAACAATGAATGAATGGAATCCCAAAATCTCTGTAGATGTTCATTGAAATGAAAAATAAACAACCTAAATTAAAAAAAAAATATATAGTATTTTTAGCAGTTTGTGATTTGTTATCTTAACTCCGCTACACTAGTATTGTTTATAACTTTAACAAACTTTGTGAGGGAAAGGACTACATCATATCTTTAACCATACTACAGTTACTTGGTTTATCAAAATCACAGGTATCATTACATAGTTTCCACATTACAACTTTCTTTTTAAATTGTGTGTGTGTGTGTGTGTGTGTGTACATCATATCTGATCTGACAGGTACTGGAGGAGATTGCCCTTCCTTCTCCAGCAGAGCATCTGGTGGATTTGAACCATGCGTCTCTGGGATTGCAGTGCAGCTTCTTGCCACTAGGCCACCAGAGCTCCCTACATGTTTACAACTTTTATATACGTATTTTAACTCATTACTGACAAGTTGGAACCGACTCATAGCTGACCCCCCAGTGAATTTCCAGAGGCTGTAAACTGCACAGGATGAGAGTGTTTTTTCTTTCTCCCACAGAGAAGCTGGTGTAATCAGACCATGTGCCTTTGTATTGGCAGCTCAACTCCCTACCACTAGGCCACCAGAGCTCCCGTACATATATTTTGGAGGGACACAGTTCAATCCATAACACTTGTTTACTCTTTTTTTAAAAAATTACTTTTAGTGAAAGTTTACAGAGACTTAGGGTTTCCAGTCATTCATTGTTGCACTTTTCGCCCTGCCCAACCCCTCCTCCCCAACATTTGGTTTACTCTTAATGATGAATGAACTTCATGGACTGACTTGTCTTCATTTTGTTTTAGGAAAGATCTTTTAAAAGAGGAACAGTAACGATTACTCATCATGCCTGCTGTGGCTTCAGTTCCTAAAGAACTCTACCTCAGTTCTTCATTAAAAGACCTCAATAAGAAAACAGAAGTGAAACCAGAGAAAATAAGCACTAGGAGGTATGTGTCCTTTGCTAGCTGTGTTTGTTACATGAATTTTTAAAAAAGCTCATTTCCTTACTATTTGAGTTGGATGAATAGTTCACTTAAAGTTTGAGAACTTACATGGATTGGGAGCTCTAGTGGCTTAGTAGTAAGGAGTTGTACTGCTAACCCAGAACTAGCTCAAATCCACCAGCTGCTCCATGTGAGAAAGATGAGCAATTTCCTGTGAAATTTAATGCCTGTGAAAACCCACTGGAGAGTCAGCTGTGAATCGGTTCCAACCAAATGGAACATAGCAACAAGAACAATAATTACATGAATAAAATATGAGAATAAGAGCTCCTTAGAAAAGTTTCTAACTATATCTTGACAGAATTTACAGCCACAGAAACTCAATGGAAGGGTCAGCTATGATGAGTCTCTTCATTGAGTGGCATCGAGAGAGGGAGAGGACACTGGAGACTATCGAAAGTTTTCCTCGGGGGCAGGGGAGAGGGCTGGGCAGGGAGAAAAGTGCCAACAATGAGTGAATGGAAATAAAAAAAAAAGTTTTTCTCTGAATTTATCTTGATTAATAAAGGAGAAAATTTGAAGATTAGAAACTCAAAACTCATTGCCATAGAGTCAAAACCAGTTTATAGTTAACCTCAGGGCTATTGGTGCAGGCGAACCACGGAGATAGTACCACCCTTGGATTAGCAGCGTGACTGACTATGGCTACACCACTGTAGCACTGATGGAGGAAGACTCAGTCTGTATTGTGCAGATAACACAATTTTGCTTCTGAAAGTGTAGTGGTCTTGAAGCACTTACTGAAGATCAAAACTACAGTCTGTTACGTATTACACTGCTGACCAAATGATAATTGATTCATATCCACTTTCTGCTCCAAGAGAGATAGACAGTAGTCTACTTCTGTAACAGATTTATAGCCTCAGAAACATGAGAGCAGGTTACTATCAGTCAGAATTGACTCATAGACAAAGGCTACAGCCTTCAGTATCAGTTATACCTAACATAAAGAAAACAGTCACAACTAGACCAAGAAATAATATTTTTTTAGGTTTACTTTTTTTCTGCCGAATCTCCCCTTCCATGTTTCTTCATTGACATTGTTTCATATAGTCATTATGTTGTTACCTACCATTGCGTTCACAGCAGCCCAATAAGACAATAGAACTGCCCCTGGGTTCCCTAGACTGTGATAATTATGGAAGCAGACTGCCACATCTTTATTCTGTTAGATTGCTGGTGGATTCAAAATACTAAGCATTCAATCATTGCACCATTGTTATAGCTTTAGAAGTAACAGTTTCAAAAAGAAGAGAGTCTAGCCAACTGTGTAAACATTTATCCTTTGTGTAAACATTTTAGAAATTGAGGTGAAAATCTGTGTTCTTTTGTCAGAAATGAGAGGGGCTCTGAAAATTGTCTAAGAAAAAATGTCTATTGTAGAATGGGACTGTCCTTGGGGTTGGGGAGAGACTGAGTAAGATGGGTTCAATAATGTATACTACACTGAAACAGAGGAGGGAGAGAACCGTCTAAAAGAGAGATGTAACTGGGTATCTCTGTCATCACAGGAGACTAGAGCGAGGGCTGCATGGTGGAGGGGACCTGGGGGAGTGTTTGTAAAACAATGAAAGAATCTTTTCTTTTACTTTTCCATAATTTTTGGACTCATGTACCTATAACTTGTTAGTCAAATTCGTGTCTTCTAGGTTGCAACACCCCCATGGTACATCTTGAAGGATATATACATGTACAGCCAAGCACAATCAATAAGAGTGCATCTGAATTCCAAAATCAATCTCCATAATAGTCTATGTGTTTCCTACTGCCAAAGGGGCCCTTTAGAGTAGTAAGAGAAGATCTTCACCCTGAAACCCACAGCGTCCCTTTTCAGCAGGAAGTAGCTAAGAGAATACGCCGTCCCCTTTTCCTTATGACTCAGGGTGAAGTCTCTCTCAGGGAGGAGTGATAGGGAATGGCAAAGGATACACTGACAAAGAAGATTAATCAGAACTGGCTTTGACAAGCACTGTGGCATTTGGACAAGAACAAACTGGGAGGAGGGTGGAGAGAGTGGTGCAGCAATGAATGAGTGGAAGCCCAGAATCTCTGTAAATGTTTATGAAAATTAATAAAATATAATTATAGAAAAAAAAAAAAAGAAAAAATGTCTAATCTCAAATGAACTGACATAGGGGCATGAAAAGGATCCTATGATTGCCCAGGGACATTTTTTAGCATTAACTTGTGTTTCTAAATATCATCAAGGGCAGAGATGGGCTTTTTTGAAGAGATTTTTTTTTTCAAGGTGCAAAAGACTAAAAGAAAAATCAACTTACTTCTTTGGCCAAGTAGGTAACATTGATGGGGTAACAGAGAAAGCAGCCTTACCTAACTTCAGTTGAATATTTTGAAATAGGAAATAATGGGAAAGAGTTTTTTAAATCATTCTCAGGAAGCATCATCTAATCCATTCTTTCTAGTAATATTTCCTTTAGTGCTAGGACTGCCCTAATCGAGAGGAAGTGTTATGTAGGAACTCAGCTCATTACTGTGAGTCAGAACCAGTACATTGCTGACCTTCCAGTTTTTTTGAGATTGCCAATTTTTTTCCCTATGGAGCCCCTGACCTGACCTGAGGTACGGCTTTAGTTTGCTTGGCTCCACAGTCAACAGTCTTGGCACCAGCAGCCAGGAAATTAAAAGGCGCATTGCCATGGGAAAGTCTGCTGTTAGGGACCTCTCCAAAGTACTGAAGAGCAGTGGTGTCTCTCTGGAGACTAAGGTGCGTCTGATACAGGCTATGGTCTTCCCAATCACTTGTTATGCATCAGAGAGTTGGACAAAGACCAAGGAGGATAGAAGGAGAATTGATGCCTTTGAGCTGTGGTGCTGGAGAAGAGTATTGAGAATACCATGGACTGCTAGGAAAACAAACAGATTTGTCCTGGAAAGGGTTAAACCGGGTGGCTCCTTGGAGGCAAGGATTCTGAGGCTCCGTCTAACATACTTTGGACATGTTGTGAGGAGATTCCAGTCCTTGGAGAGGGACATCATGCTTGGGAGGGTGGAGGGATAGCGCAGGAGAGGAAGGCCCTCTATGAGGTGGATTGATTCAGTGACTGGGATAATTGGGATGGGAGTGTCAGAGACGGTGCGATTGGCACAGGACAGAGCGGAGTTTAGGGCTGTTGTATATAGGGTTGCTATGAGTCGCAGGCGACTCGACGGCACATAACAACAACAACATGGAGCCCCTAGTGGATTTGAACTGCCTTAGAGGCACCACCCCTTTGGGTTAGCACAAATCTTTACCCCCTATGCCAGCAGCTCTACCTTGGTATGTAGGAAGGACATCCTTATGTATCAAATTTATGTTCCTACAATGTCACTGCACTGCCCCGAGAATGCAAGAATCCTTTTAGGATGCTTGGCTAGATTGCTGGGTTCTCAATGCCATTGTAATCATATGCATTTGATTTATTACACAGGCCTATGCATGAGGGTGAAGGGAAGGGGAGAAGCAACAACTTTTACACCCACTAACTATTAAATGGTTCTAGAGAATATCTCTATTGTGTCCGTTTAATTTATGTATATCCCAAGACTGTGATGCCTTCTATGCAGTGGATTCACATTGGCCGAAGTGGACTTTATATAGCACCACCACTGACCTTGTTTTTTCCCCTGACATGCTCTAGTTCCTTTGCTTGACCAAGTTCATTATTAATTCATGACCCAGTATAAAAACACAGAAAATTAAATTTTTTTAAAAAGTAAGATACATTATTTTTCAAAAGTTATTGATAAAGCATATTGTATATAAACGTTTGTAACCTTAGCTTGGTTCTCAGAATTTAAATCTTTGAGATTGCAGTGCAGTTTCTTGCGATTGTCTTTCTTCCTTTTTTTTTCCTTTCTTCTTGTGTACCGTACAGTTAGATCTCTCTGGCACAGGAGATTGCTGCTCCTTCTCCAGCAGAGCATCTGGTGGATTTGAACCGTATGCCTTTAAGATTGCAATGCAGCTTCTTTCCACTAGGCCACCAGAGCTCCCTCAGAACTTAAATCTTATGTGAATGAAATCCTCTTGCAGAAATTCCTGTCTCATTAATTTGCTTTCTAAAGACTTGGTTAAAATTAACTTAAGAAAATATACTTAATAAGGAAACCAAAGAATCATCAAATTATTTTACTAAAGTAGCATTATTTAGTGGCATGCTTTAGACTTTTAAGTATTCTTTTCTTTCAGTGACAGTGGATCAGAGTATAGTTTAAGCATTTTGTGAAAAACTAGCCAAGATGAAACTTTGAAGTCATGTTTTTCTTGTACCTCATTTCTTGAATTCTTAATTGGGAAGGATTTCACTTCATGATTTAAAATCAGTGAAGAAACTTAATAGGTTTTAACTTTAAAATAATAATAAATAATAATAATAATAGTGAGCTTTTTGGAGAAGAAGGATATGTGGCAATTTTATTTTGACTTGTTATGATTTGATAAGAAATTTGCAAGAGCAGACTGCAAATCAATGCAAATAGTACTCAGTCATATTCATTCATTATAGAGTATGATTAATATAATGGTAGTCTGTGACCACTTAATGGAAATTATCTGTTACAGCACATCCCTTTAAAACTGTTTTAGATATATATTTTTTCATAATATGGATAGTTTGGCAGGGTATAAACATTATGGCAGGGTATAAACATTATGAAACAAGTATTTAGTGTAAGGAAATTTTCAGGTTGTATTTAAACTTATATCCAACTTTATTTCAATTCTGGGATAGTAAAACGCAAGTTATAAAATTTATTATATCAAGAGTCTCTGGACTTTATACATGACCCATTTTCTTTTTCCAAATGTCTTATGTTTTAATGATTTTCTCTAATTTCAAGTTATGTACAGAGTGCCCTGAAGATCTTTAAGACAGCAGAAGAATGCAGATTAGATCGTGATGAGGAAAAGGCCTATGTACTATACATGAAATATGTGACTGTTTATAACCTTATCAAGAAAAGACCTGATTTCAAGCAGCAGCAGGTATCTTTGATTTCTCTTATTTCTTTGCTGTGCTATTTTTGCTTTCTAGAGCTATTGATTACCTCTAAAAATTTTAATGCAATGAAATTTAGATCACATTGTACAGCATCAAGATCAAAGTCTTAACACAGAAAACATAATGTGATTCACTTTCACTATTTGTAGCTGAGAAGCTGTGGTTAAAGTATAGTTAGAAGCAAAAACATCTCAATTTAAAATAAGTTCCATTTTATACATCTGCTTTTGCTTTATTATTTGTAAGACAAGTTATTATTTGAAGAAAAGGATATTTTTCTCCTGAAACCTTTGTTCCTTAGAACTTATAAAAGTTGAAAGTACTGTTTATGATTCTTAAAGGTGCTTTACAAGTAGGCAAAATTTATTACCTAATGAATTTTTAATAATTTTTGCCTTCAGCATATTGGTGTGAAGAGTTGTTAGGTTTTTTATTTTTTTTTTTACTGTTCAAAAGAATTTCATTTTTGGAAATATGTTTCAAAAATTACTTAAAGAGTTGCTGCACATCAATTCCATTTCCATCTTATCAGGTTACACTGAATTTTAAAAAAATCATTCAGAAATAATTATTATGTTGGGGTATTTTTAAAAACATTTAGGGATTTGTGCATATATAAGCTAAAAGGTTTTTTTAAATACTTCATCCGGTTATAATGATCTTTATTTAAACTTAACTTTACAAAAAAACAAAAAGCAAAACAAAACAAAAAAAAACTTAACTTTACATAAGCACCATCACTGTGATGTTTTTAGAATTAGTGCTGTGTACTCTGGCCAATACTAATATTATGGCATGGTTTTCATATAATTTTAGGAATACTTTCATTCAATTCTTGGACCGTCAAACATCAAAAAGGCTATTGAAGAAGCTGAAAGACTCTCTGAAAGCCTTAAACTCAGGTACAGATATTATAAATTAAAAGAATGTAAATTTAAAAGATCAGCATATTATTTTGAATTTGTCAATTTATATATGATCAAGCATATAATATCCTAGGAATAAGTTTTATGTTCATTGACACACCAAGCTATGCACAGTAAGGTTTATTAGATTAGAACTTGAGGCCAGTGTTCTGTTTGTAAGTTTTTGACAGGGTTCTTGAGAAAAAATTTAGTTCTTCATATGTGCCATATTGTATTGTGCTACTAGATACTAGTCTATGGGAATAAAATATTTGCTGTTATTTTTTATCTGCCCAGCTGTAGAAATTAAACACATTTTAAAAAAAAATAGTTGATCATAATATTTCCTTGATTGTCTTATTAGGCTCATAAATAATTATGCAACTATCTTCACTGCCTAAATAAGATAAAAAAGGCACTGTTTTCACCTTTATTAAAAGAACAAAGTCCATGTGGGGAGCACAGTATCTTACCTTTACCAACTTCACAAGGGGAAACTGTCCCCATCCACAGCATCAGTGACACAAAACCAATTCCAGTAAGGTCAGACATGTCCCCCACACGCCTGTACCTCTTTCTACTCATCTCAACACCAGTTTTACTGTTTTCAGAAACCAATGTAATTCAGATAATAACTGAATACAGCCAAGATCGCTCTGAAAATGTGCATGCTGGCACCTCAGCCTTGCAGCATTCCCAAGTTCTAAGTCCTGCCATTATTATCTCTCCGTCACCCCTCCAACCTCCCAAGGTCCCTTCTCACGTCATGGCTCCATTTTAACCATGGCGGCTGCTGCTGCTGCTGCTGCTGTCGCTGTCTCAAAGCTGTTCTACATTTCACTGGTTATTTATTTTATTGGCAAGACTAGCCAGATTGTTGAGACTGGCCAAACCCCTTGTGAAATGAGAGATGGTTAATCTCTTGTGAATAAGCTAATATGCTTCATTTGCATATTCCCGCCCATTTACGTAGCAAAGTCATGCAATGGCTGGAAAAGTCATATTGAAAGATAAACTCAGGAACCTCAATATATTTTTTCTTCATGATTTTACATTGTTGAATCAATTAACCATTGCAGTTAAACGAATTATACTTTCAACTTAGAAATTGTCTTTTTAAATGAATATATTCCTTTTGTCTTTTAAAAAATTTACTAATCTTGTGGCATTTGAGCAGAAGGCTAAACCCATTGCTGTCAAAACCATCTGAACACTATAGGACTAACTGGAACTGCCCCATAAGGTTGTTTTGGGGTTGGTTTTTAAAAATATTTTATATTGGATAGTGATATTCACTGGACTTCCTTGTATGTGTATGGATATTATCCAATATTTTATGTCATGACATATATAGTAATGACTTTTTAAAGTATGAAAGCAACCCCATTTTTCTTCACCTTTTCATGTCTGGGGTAATAGATCATATGATCATCCGACTTAAAATGTCCCATGCCAGTCCCTTCTCATCTCGGTAATACTTAGTATTGTCAATATTTATGCACTCCATTTCTTCCTTAACAAGATCTAATTTTCCTACATTCATGGTTCTCACATTCCGTGTTCCAGTCACTAGTGACTGCTTACAACTGTTCTTCCTTTGTATTTCCATACTTGAAAGCTCTACCTCAGTTGCCCTGTTAGTCTACTTGTGTTCTATTGTACATAGGGTTTTCAGAGGCCAGCTATTTAACTTTGTGGATCACAACAAACTATGGCTGACTCGTAAGAAGAATAGGAATCCCAGAACACTTGATCGTGCTAAGGTGAAATCTATACTTGGACCAGGAGGCAGTTTTCAGAACAGAGCAAAGAAACACTGAAAGATTGGGAAGGGTGTACGTCAGGGATGTGTCCTCTCTGCATTCCTTTTCAACCTATATGCAGAACAGTTTATCCAGGAGGCGGGGCTCTAT